CGCAGCACCACAAATAATAATACTAACAACAATACTGATTGACTACTTATAAGGTTCAAGCCCTGTCATTACTGTACTGGATTAGCTTTGCTCCTGCTTCAACCACCTAGTGTATCTATCCTAAGGGCTTAAAAATTGGAGGCGCTGATACTAGTTTCCAATAATAAAACCCAGTTAGAGCACATACCTTAAAGTGAGGGAGATTCACAGTGGCATGTACTACAATTCTTTCTTTCCTTTCTTCCTTCCTTCCTCCCTCCTTCCCTCCCTTCCTCCCTCCCTCCCTCCCTCCTTCCCTTCCTTCCTTCCCTTGTATGTTTTGTTTGTTTGTTTTTGTTGTTTGAGACAGGGTTTCTTTGTGTAGCCTTGACTGTCCTAGAACTAGCTCTGTAGACCAGGCTGGCTTGAACTCACAGAGATCTGCTTGCCTCTGCCTCTACCCAGCTCAAATGTAGTTTTAGTACCTGTTTACAGCTCTTGCTCTCTCTCTCTCTCTCTCTCTCTCTCTCTCTCTCTCTCTCTCTCTCTTAGTGATTTATTCATTTTTATTTTATGTGCATTGGTGTTTTGCCTGCATGTATGTATGAGGGTGTCAGGTTGACTAAAGCTGAAGTTACAGACAGTTGTGAGCTGCCATTGTGGGTGCTGGGACTTGAACTTGGGTCCTCTAGGAAAGCTCTTAACCGCTGAGCCATCTCTCCAGCCCTTTATAGTTACAGACAGTGCTGATATGACACCTCTATCGAGGTGCTAAGCCTTCCAGTCTCCAATAAGAACTTTGGCAGCTACTGGAGCCTGTGTTTCAGATGAAGCCCTGGGAAAGTAGAAACGAACACTGCTCCCGCTGGAGCAGACAGGAGTACACAGTGCTCAGCATGAGGCCTTGTGCTTGGAGGAGGCCCTCTGCTTAGCCCTGGTGGAAGGGTTGATCAAAGTCCTTCACCCAATCAGTGGACCCATTGACCACCTGGAGAGCAAAGGAGATGATGGGAGGCAGAGACACGTGACTTCTGAAAGGGGAGGACGGGAAGTAGCCTGTCCTTTACTTGCTTCTTGATCAGCATGATTGACAGTTAATCATCAGCACTTAGCTAAAGACTTAACCCTCCTTATTCCTAATCTTTATTCCAATGCTTAAGGCAGGGAATGTAAGCTATAAATGACATCATTTTATGGCTACTGACAGCATCATCAACTCTGTGGCAATGTCCTCTGAGATACAGATATGCCTTAGGAACATTTCTGTGGTGCCAGCTTATTGGTAGCCTACCGACTCTTCTCCTGTTAATGATACTCTGTGGACATTTCTGATACCCACATCTAAGTCTCCAGTGGCCCAGGCTCTTCTATAGAGATTATTCCCATTTTACATGGCACTAGGCTTTGAAGCACTACACATAATCATGGTGAGACAGAAATGCTGATAATGCACTATCCCTATGTATATATAGCTAACATTTGTGAAACGTTTTTCTCTGCACCAGCCACTATATTATTATTTTATCTCCTTATACCCTCACAATTTTGTGGAGCAAAGGAAATGAGGCAGAGAAACCATTAAAGTGGAGAGGAGGACTCACAGAAATTAGGTAACAGCCTGGGGTCCAGTCCATAGATTCCACACATGCTCAACACGCACTCACCCATCCCAGGATTACCTGCATGGATGCACTTTTCCAATAGGAGTCCACAGCATTGTTTTCACAGTCTTCTGATGTGGGGCAGGACTGGTAATCAAGTCCTAAGAGAAAAGTATACAAATGCCTTTCATATTGGAAACGCATTCATTTAAAGTATTTGCTAATTCCATATTTGGCGTGAGTTCTGAACAAATGTGTACAGTGCGTTTACCTTCTTCGAGCCTCAGTTTCCCCTCTGGAAAATAAAGAGATGAGGGCAGAGTCCTGCTGGATTGGAATCATAGGCTCCGAGGTCTGATTGTGAGATTACAGGGCTTACTGGATATACATTCCTAAGCCACTCCCTTAATCATGCCATGCCTCAGTTTCCACGCTTGCCAAATTAGGAATAATGATAGGATCATAGAGGATAATGTGTGGATTCTAGAATTAATGTGTCTAAGAGACTTGCAACAGCCTGCAGCAAAGGTAAGTACTCTCTGTCCATTATTGTTATTATCCACTACTATAGATGCTACCTACTTCAGAGGATTTGGAAAGGACGAAATGAGATGAGCATAGATGAAAATATCCAGCATCCAAGGTCAATTCGCAGGTAGAGAAGCTGTTACTTTGTGGTGACATGTGCAAAAGTCTTACCAGAGGCATTTTCCTGTCGACACCAACTCAGAAAATCTCCAACCTTGCCATACAGAACGTCGCACAGGGGCGTGAGGCGACGAGTGTTCTCTGCAAAGCTGGTAACGAGTAGGTGGTTATTCTCCCAGAACAGCGACTGATGAGAAACAGCCAGGAGTTAAAATGTGAGACAAAATGAAAGCGCATTGCAGTCGTCATCAAGACAAATCAGCAGCCACTCCTCGTGGAATCGGGACCCACTGCGAGTCTACTGCTTTCCTTTTCCTTGCTGCTACTGCACAGTTGAAGTGTGTCGCCTCTCTCCTCCCTCCCTGTCTTGCAAACACACTGCGTAGACCAGTGGTTCCCAACCTTCCTAATGCTGCGGCCCTTTAATACAGTTCCTCACGTTGTGGTGACCCCCGACCACAAAATTATTTTCATTGCTACTTCGTAACTGTAATTTTGCTACTGTTATGAATTGTAATGTAAGTATGTTTTGGAGACAGAAGTTTGTTAAAGGGGTCGCAACCCATAGCTTGAGAACCACCGACATAGACAATAATGACACATATTCCCAGCGGTACGAAACACACGAACCACTGTCAAGAGCCTTGCATCACAAATGATTAAGGGGCCAGGCCTAGCTCTGCAAGCCTAGCTCTGTCCCATGCTGGATGTATGATTTTGACCAGGGCATTTCATCTTCCTGTGCCTGGGTTTGGAAAATAGGAGCAGAAGCCTTTGGCCGTGTGCTGCAGCTGTGATTAGGATGGTATGCAATTGTGCCATGCCCTTTTCTAGAGTGCGCGGTGATTCAAAACACCTCATTCTTTACAGCACACTTGGTACCTTCCGGGGTAAATAGTGTCTTCGGAGCACAGGTAACAATATTTCCGGCGGTTGTCTCATCTGGTCCTCAGTAGTCCAGTCTCTTTGTAGACTGGAAAGGCTACGAGATCCTTTTTTATTTTGCATCCCTAACCCTTAATAAAACACCAGGAACACAGAAGGATTCCAGTAAATTATTTATTGAGTTCATCAACTAGCTCACTAAACTTCTGAGAGATGTACAATTTTAAATTATGCATCTGCTTTTTACCAACAAAGAAGCAGGAAAAAAATGCAGCATAAACTTAAAAATTACATTTTTTTGTCATCATCTCTGAGGTGGTTGTCCTCACCTTGTCTCTCGGAATGGCGTGCCTGGAGAGGTTAATGAAGAGGTCATAGTCTGAGGGAAGCACAGAACAGGGGTCCTTGTCTAGCACCACCTTGAAGGCTTCCCAGATGGCTGTGCAGTTTTTGTTCCTGTGCAGAAGTGCCAGTCAGGACTGGGGAGATGCTTCAGAAGGCAAGGCTCTTGTGGTGTAAGCGTGAGGACCTGGGTTCAACACCCACCCCCATCCACGTGGCTGCCTGTGGCTCTAACCCCAGCGTTGCATGAGGTGGAAACAGGAGCATGACAGGCTGTGCTGGCTGCCAGGCTAGCTCTAGTTTTCGGACTAGAAGATGATAGAGCCAGGAATTATAGAGCAGGACACCCAGTGTCCCCCTCTGGCCTCTGTGTGGGCACAGGCACATCACACACACACACACACACACACACACACACACACACACACACACACAGTGCAAGTTATAAGAAGAAAACCTAAAAGGCACCGCAATGCACTGTGAAACAGTTCCACTGTGAGAGGAAACACAGAGTTCTCCCATCTAAGTAACGTGCTTTTCCCCAGGTTCACCACATAAGCAAAAAAGGTCACAGACAGAAGCACAACTAGAAGGTGACAATTCCTTTCCTTTTCTCTTTTGTTTTGTGTTTTTTGTTTGTTAGGTTGGTGGGTTGGTTGTTTTTGAGACAGGGTTTCTGTGTATAGCCCTGGCTATCCTGGAACTCACTCTGTAGACCAGGCTGGTCTTGAACTCAGAGACCCACCTGCCTCTGCATCCCAAGTGCTGAGATTAAAGGCAGAAGGTGACAATTTTAATGTCAATAAACTCTAGTTTTCAGATGTTGTGAGTGTGTGTGTGTGTGTGTGTGTGTGTATGTGTGTGTGTGTGTGTGTGTGTGTGTGTGTGTGTGTGATCAAGGGCCACATTTCTTGCTCTTGTCTATTCATTTAGACACAAGAGTGGGGCCCATTGTTCAGGTCCATTAGAGGGCAGGTCTCTGCACTCGTGAGGCCAGGTCAGGAGGCAAGACTTGGGAGGACAGAGTGGATGACAAGTGCAGGGAGTGGCTTCTTCTGCTGAGTCAGAATGTCCTCCAGGGACAACAGTTTTCACAACTGAGGTACAAGCACCTTTCAAAATCACTTCCTATGCAATGGTCACTTTTTCTTCCTCTTGGTGAGTGGTGACTAGTCACTAGTGGTGACTCCTTATGTTATTCTCTCTCTCTCTCTCTCTCTCTCTCTCTCTCTCTCTCTCTCCCCCCCCCACCCGCCTTCTCCCTCCCTCTCTCTCTCTTCCGCCTTCTCCCTCCCTCTCTCACTCCCTCCGTCCTTCTCTCTCTCCTCCCTCTCTCCCTCTCTCTCTGATTGAAATGTATAACAATTAAATACAACTGGCACAAGAAAGGGATAATATAACAACACAAAAAGCGGGTCTAAAGGAGGAAAACATTTCAGTAGGAAGCACAATGTGCGCAAGACAGAGGAAACCAGAGTGCTCTGGACACTCATCCTAATGCCGCCTGACTCCCTCTCTGTCCCCTCTCTTCTTCTTTTCAAACAGACACTAAACTTGGAGCATCGTCTGGCAAAAGACACCTTGAGGAGGGGCCCTGAAGGAGATGGGAGTTTGAAGGACGTAAGGATTTCAGCCATAAGGAGGAAAAAAACTTAAGTCCTCTAGAGCAGAGGACCTGAAATTGCCAAAGGGCGCCCACTTCAGCAGTTGCTGCTAGAGACCTCTGCAGGCTGCAGGCTGGCGAGGCAGTCACTCAAACACCTCTAGACTGGTATTTGTGGCTCCCACCCGCACCTCTCTCACCTCTACAACCGCAGGACAACCTCGTCTGCAATCGCCCCCTGGACCTGGAGATCTCCTGCACTCTGGCCCCTGGCCCTGAGAATCGCTTACCTATCCCTGCATGGAGACCGGTTAGTTCCTCTGCCTGACTTTCCAAAGCGCCCCCCTCTCTCTCCCTTTTCACTTTCTGGCTTAGCACTTACCCGGGCTGGAGGCTCAGCAGTGTAGTGTACTCTGCGCAGCGGCCCAGGAAGATGCTTTGCAAATGCGGAGTGGTGCCCTCCCCGCTCCACCGCGCTGTGGCAGCTCTCGCCCCCTGCAGCAGCGGCAGCTGCAGGGACAGCCACAGCCACAGAGACAACGCGTATCCCTGGGCGGCCATCGAGGAGACTTTGAGTCCTCCAACCAACGACCTCTCCTGGACTCCTCCCAGTTTCTCCTTTCTCTCCCGCCTCGGAGGCGGTTCCCCTTAGCTGAGCGCTAGCTGGAAGCTCATCCTAACCCATGGCAGGCCCCCTTCCATCCCCTTTCCTCTTCCGTTCCGAGATTGAAGGATGTGAAGGTTTCATACATAAGAGGAAAAAAAAAAAACTTTTTTGGTTCAAATTGCAACACCCTTGACAAGTGTCCTCTTTCCCAAGGGCCAAATATGAGTGAAATGTGTTTGTTTTCAGGACACACACACACACACACACACACAACTAGAAATCACCCATCTGTTACCACGTAAGCACCAAGCAAGCTTAAGCTAAGTTCCCCTTCACACCTTCACACCGTCCTTCCTTTCTGAGTTTATAATTGTCTTCAGTTTCCAGATGAATAGACTTGGGAAAGTTAATTAACTTCCCCAACATCTCAATCTCACTCCTAGGTAACCCTAAAGATGGTCTAGAACGCGGGAGTGAAAAGAATCCCACGTGGAGTGCCAAGTCCTCAGTCCTTACCTCAAAAACAGCTGTGAACTCAGACTGCTGGAGCAAGTACTTGAGACACACGAGAGGGGTGTGTGTATGTGTGTGCGTGTGTGTGTGTGCGTGTGTGTGTGTGTGCGTGTGTGTGTGTGTGTGTGTGTGCGCGCGCGCGCGCGCGCGCGTGCATGTGTGTGTGTATGACTTGATTTGAATCCCTTTCTGTTGTAACCAAACTCTATATTCTCCTGTCTAGCTTTTCCTTAAGTAGAAGGTTACAATCCAGTGATAGGTATTTTCAGTTTTTCCAGCATCCATCCTCTCCATCCTGTTTGCTTCCACATTTCTAAACAGGTGTGTATCCATTATCTCTAGGTGATTTTGTTTTGGATGTTATCTCCTGGCTTTCTACTATGAAAAAGCAGATTGTATCTGCTCCCTTGATGTTCATCCCTCCCCCCTCCATTCTTTTTTACCTTTCATCCTCCCAACAGGGTGTTAACACAGCTATAAACCTGTCATATTGCATTATTATGAACTTGTGAATGTTATTCATGGCTGATGTATTGCATTTTATTTCCTTAGTAGCAAGAGGTAGTAGATGACTTCGCCTGGACTCGCTTTCCCCCACCTTGGCATGGTATTCTAGGCTTCAAGGTACGCTTAAGGTCACAGTCCACACTCTGTAAGCCATGTAAATGTTCTCATTCCAAACCACTAGTCAACAGCCGTCCTTGGGAATATCCAGCTTCCTGCTCCAGGATGAGCATGTTGCTCTTGGCTGTGTGCCTGTCATCCCTGCTAGTCTTCCCTCTCTGCTGTGTCATGTTCTCTCATTTCCAGATCTCTTCATGAAGCACAATTCCTCATGGCTTCTTGAGAACACACTAGGAAGTCTCTGAGGTTTTTGCATATCAGAAAATATCACTACTTTACACATCTGATTGAGACATGAGTATGTAGAATTTTAAATTGGAAATAATTTCCCTTCAAAGTTTAAAAACCATTTCCTTTTGTTTATCTACCACATCCTGATCCAGTAGTTTGAGGATTTTTTTTTTTTTATCATGTGGAGTATGAATTTTCAGAGGTGAATTCGGGGAATGGTTTTTATTCAGTATCTTGGTAACCAGTGGTGGGGTCATTCACTGTTTTGTTTATTATTTAGTTATTCACTTAGTTGTCTATTATTAATTTATGGTACTAGTGGAATTGAATCTTAGGCATCACTCATGCTAGGCAAGTGCTCCAACGCTGAGCTATATTTCTAGCCTTCTTTTGACACAGTCTCCCTAAGTTACCACCACCAGCCTTAAAAGCACTGTGTAGCCCAGGTAGGTCCTAAACTACCTCTGCAGAGCACACGGGCTTTCCAGGGTTGGAAAGGCAGGAGATTGATACTTCCCCAGAGCAACCAGAAATAAAGGGCTCTCAGATCTTTAGCAGAGCAAGACTCACTCTGGACTTTGGGCATCCAAAAGGGAGTGTGTGTGTGTGTGTGTGTGTGTGTGTGTGTGTGTGTGTGTGTGTGTCCCACTAAATTAATAAATATGCCACCAATGGAGATTATATACAGATTTTGGCACCCCAAACTGTCTTTCTGTCCCCTTTCCCTTCAGAACAAAAACAAGACTATCACACTTAGATAGTCTCAATCAGACCATGAAGAGCCCCCTCTCCAACTGAAATGACATTAGAGAACAATTTAGTCAGTCAAAATTATTTTTCTAGCCCCAAACTGTCTTCACAAATCCTGAAAATATTTGAGTAACTGTTATACAGCCAGGGAGGCTTTTTGAGAACATGAGAGAAAAAGAAGGCTTAATTTGCCTTCGGTGGTTAATAAAAATATGGATATCAAAGAGGAAGGCTCAACAAGAAGTGAAGAACATAAAAGAATTCTATAACATCTTATCATATGATATATCTAAGTTATCATAAACTATAGAAATACAGATATCAAAAGCACTGCTAGGGAGGGCCCAAAATAAACTGAGGAACATATTTTTGGACACTGGAAGACAGGAGGTTCTTGTGATATAGTGACAGAAAACTGAGATGGATTTTTTTTTCTACAATTATACAGGGAACACTTTGTATTTAACAAATTTATATAGTTACTTTAGATTTCCAAGTCAAGTGTTGAAGTTTTGGTTTCTTGTTGCTTTAATAAAGGGTAAAATGAAAAAAAAAAACTATAAAAACAGAATCAGGAGTAGCAATTGGGGGGGGGAGGTTAAGCCTGTCCAGACTGTGAAAGATGCTGAGGTTGAGGTCCACGATAGGGAACACAAACTTTGGGTAGCAAAAAGATGACAGTTGTGTGGCTGGGCATTCTTATTTGGAAATATATATTTAAAACTTTTTAAACTGTGGTAAGATATACATAAAATTTATCTTCTAGCCATTTTTAAGTATGAGCATCATTATCTTAGTGCTTGGTAAGAGTGACGGTTTGAACAAGTATGGCCCCCATTGACTCATGTGTCTGATGCTTGGCCCACACTCTATTCCGAGGTGTGGTCTTCTTGGAGTAGATATGTCCTTGTTGCAGGAAGTGCATCATTGTGGAGGTGGGCTTTTAGTTCTCATTTATTCTCAAGCCATGCCCAGTGTGTCAGTTCATTTCCTGTTGTCTGTGGATCAAGGTATGGAACTCTCCAGCTCCTTCTCCAGCACCATAGCTGCCTATACACAACCATGTCCTGACATCATGATGATGGACTAAACCTCTAAAATTATAAGTCAACCCCAATTCAATGTTTTCCTTTATAAGAGTTGCCGTGGTCATGGGATCTCTTCACAGCAATAGAAACCCTAACTAAGGCAGGGGGAAAAAAACCTGACCCACAGGACCACCCTGCACTGCCAGGCCTGGGTAGGTAGACACCCACTGGCTCACCTGGTGTTGCTGAGCCTGGGTGGGTGGAAGATACCCATGGGCCCACCTGGCACTGCTAGGCCCAGAGAGGCAGAGGACACCTGAGATGCTCCCATCTACAGCCATGTTGTATGGGCCAGGCGTGAGAGGCTCCCACCCACAGCCACGTGGCACAGGCAGGGCTGAAGACACCGGAGATATCCCTGCCTGTAGCCACGCAGCGCTGGCTGGGTGCGAGAGACACTGGAGAGGCCCTGCCTGCAGCCATGCAGCACAGGAGGAGCAAGCATCACATCGATGAGCAAGTTCATGGTGGAGAGATTGTAGAGGAAGGGAAACAGAATGGCTTGGGCACTATGAAGATAAGCAGAACTGAAGTTGCGAGGGTGGCGAAGAACAGTCCTATGTGAGCAGCTTATGCTGCCACCTAAGGCCACAGAGATGCCCTGACCCGTACTGCCACCAAGAATCATGGCTGGGTCTGTAGTCCTGCAGTAGCAGCCGCAGCGGTCTGGGTCCATGTCTGTGGCCCATGCTACCACCAAAGGCCATTGGGCTGTCCCTGGTCTGGGCTACCTACCACCTGTCTGAGAGCTGTGCAGAGCTGGCCCCGCCCCTCACGAGCTGGCAGTGGGGAGAGCTGACTATCCCTTGACTGGTCAGGGCGGGAGAGCTGGCCCCATTCCTCACCTGGGCAAGCAGGAGAGCTGTCTGTCCCTGGTGGCATGGGTGCAGGAGCGTGGGTGGGCTGTCCAACTCAACTAGCATCCAGGCCCAGATTCAGAGCTTTGAGTTGGCCCACTCCAACATGTACCCTCCAACATGTACCCCGTCTAAGAACTGCTGGAGCATGTGATGGGGCCAGTCCTGCGGAATCAAAGCTGCCGGAGTTCCATGACACACGGCAGCCAGCAGCAGGATATCTGAGAGGAGTCCAAGAATCCAGTATTGATAGTGTAGCAGAAGCCAGAAACCTTGAACCAGACCAATGACTCATTGCAATGAACATTTGCAAGTAAAGCTTTTTGGGCAAAAGGGCAGACTGAGTGGCACACTTTGACACCATGACACACTGCAGCTTCTATGGCGAGATGTTGTTTTTTCTTTCTTCCCTTTATAAATTTTCTTTCTTTCTTTCTTTCTTTTTTTTTTTTTTGGTCATTTTTATTTTTTCCCTTTGGCAGGGAGGTTGCAAGGGCAAAGGGCAGGTATGAAGGGATGGGGAGATGAGTGGGTTTGGGGTGCATGATATGAAATTCACATAGAATCAATAAAAAAGATTTTAAAAATCTAGTCATAACAGTGGGTGTTTTGAAGAGTGGTATGATGCATAGATCCCTCACACATCTCAGAAAACAAAAACAGTGCAGAATTGTTTAGGAAAGTGTGGGAAGCTAGCTCCCACTTTTTCCTGGGGTGCTCTTAAGAAGAGAGGAATAAAGAAATATTTAGATATGTGGAGAAGACAGACAGAAACACAGGATAGCTTCAGGAGGACCTGGATCAATATCCATTAGCCTTTTCTGCCTCTTCAAAAGGGCTTTTTGTAGGAATGCCAAGGGGCGGGGCAAAAGACCTCCCCCTAGCATAGCCAAGTGCAGATCCTTCCAAACTCCTGGTAACCACACACATGGTCAGTCCATCCTCTAATGCAGCCCTGCTGGGTAAAGCAAGCTCAGCTCTCACTAGGAAACCTCTGTGGGCCCCCACAAGAAAGCTCTATGGAAGAGGCTCTCTTTGTAGTGGAGTGAATCATTGTGAGTCACAAAGTATTCAAGACTAAGAAACACTAAGTAGGACTGAAGAAACAGAGAAAAAGAAATGCTTTTTAAAATAGACTGGGGGCAGGGGAGGAAGGGAGTGGGCTACCAAAATTCTACAGGCAGGAAACAGACTATTGAGATCATTCCAGGACAGACATGTGCTACCCTTCATAAAAACAGACAGCTTTGAATGAAGCCACAGGTTTAGAGGTCACAGACAAGAATGACAGGTTATTCCTAGGCTTTGAGCCTTATCTGGGTAGACTTTGGACATGGCTGTCTGGCAGCTCTGCTCTGCCTTTCATTTTCTTCCTTTGTGGAGCACAGAGTCCATGGACTTCACCCTACTCCAGCTTCATTCATTCCGGAGCACAGAACTTGCTGTCTGACTTCACAAGTGCACAGATAACCTTGGCCCAGAACACAGTATGGCCAGGACTACCCCCATTTGTAATTTAGGCAGTACAGATACGAGGTTTGGGACTTGAACTGATACTGAAATAAGTTCAGAACTGTGGGGGACATTAGGATGGGTGATGGTATTTATCATGTGGGATGGATGTGAGTCTTTGAAAGTCAGAGGATTAACTACAATCAAGCCAAAATGCCCCTCAAAGATGTCTAAACTCATATTCTGGAGACCTGTGACTGTCACCTTACATGGTAGTAGATTTTGCAGAAGTGATATATATGTGTGTGTGTGTGTGTGTGTGTGTGTGTGTGTGTGTGTGTGTGTGTGTGTGTGTATCACAGATCCAAACCTCTCAGGGTCTGAAATATGAGTTATGGCTCTCACCAAAACAGCAGCTACAAAGGCACTGTGTTGGATCCCATGTTCCAGATCCCTCCATGTGACACAATGCAGGCCAG